TTGTTCATAATAAAGTAAATGAAAGTATTCTTTGAAACTTGGCAAGTGTTCAATCACTAGGAAAATTAACATGTGGTTGAATATTAATACAAATAATTCCATAGTGGTAGAAATTACTTTCATGCTGATGCAAAAATTCTATATCATAAAATTATCATAAAAATAAAAGCACCTAATTCACTTTCATTTTACCCTTTTTTATTTACATAAATATTTTTATTCAATTATTAGAAATTGGGTGAGATAAAAATGAAGTTGACACTTGCTGGCTCAGATCAGTCTCTTTAAATGGGGGTGATATGGAAGTAGAATTAGGATCATTTGGAATGAGTTTTATTGACATTAAAGCCAATGTATATACTTTTCACCAGATTTTGCAGTATTATGCAGGTGTCTGTATCATGAACACAGATGTGTGTTCCTTGACTTAAATTCATAATAAGTAGCACCCCATTTTTTTGGCAATTTCAGTCCATGCAACATAAGCTCAAACCAAGGCGTGAGTCTGAGCAACAGAACAGATTATTAAAAGCCCCTGTGGCAAAGCTATATACTTTACTCCTTCATTCAGAACTTTATTGGTCCTTTCTTCCTAGCATTCTTAATAAGCTTGATTATCTTAATATACTATTCTTAATAAGCTTGACTTCCTCTCCTGAAGTAACAAAGTAAAAAGTAAGGAGAGAGGAATCTTATAATGAACAGATTTGACAGCCTGATAACAAGACAGGAAATAGTCAAACTGAAAATAAGATACGACTGCATAGGAAAATAATAGATGTTTAAAATGATGACTGATGAAGAAAAGGTTAAATGAGCAGGGCATTGGACTAAGTGCTTAAGATACAAGATTTTTAAAAATGACATAATCTTCACCCTTAAAGAATTTTTACTCTAATAAGAAAAAAAAATAAGGCATGCACATGAGTAAGAGACAAGGTAAAATGTGCTGAGCACTAAAGAGAAGTTAAGACAATAAAAATGAAGACAACAAAACCAATAACCAGAACACATGAAGGACTACTTTCAGTTGGGGGCAATTGGAGAAGGCTTCCTGGAGGAGTTCCTATATGTGATGGGCCTTGAAAGAAAGAAGGGATTTCAGCCCAGTGGAATGTGAACTGAGTTCATGCTGGGCATGCAATATGATGTACATAAAAACGTGAAGGCAGGAGAAGTCAGAGTAAAATTAGACAAATTTACTTTGACTGGAATATAGAATGAATGACATAAACTCAAGCATAGGTTCCCAAAGTGGGCAATACCCCTGGGGGGCTCTGAAACGATTGGGGTGGGGGGGCAGTAGTAGCCTCTAATGACACAAATTCCCCACCCCCCCCAAAAAAAACCAAAATAAAACCATTAAAGGGTTAAAAAAAGTAGATTTCCAGGGGGGTGCTGAGGAATTTTTTTTTCAGAGGGAGTGGTAGGTCAAATAAATTCTGGAACCTCTGAGAGGGAAAACCTGATGATTCCAGAGTCACAGGACCTGGGTTCAAATTCTGTCTTTGACATTTTGTAACCTTAACTTGTGTCACTTAACCTCCCTTGGTCTTAGTTTTCTCAACTATAAAATTAGGGGATTGTACCTGATGGTTTCTTCTGGCTTTGATTTATGAATGTATAGGGTAGTGTAAGACAAGGTAGAAAAGGTAGGTTGGAGGAGATTGGTGGGTAGAAAAGGTAGATTGTGGAGGATATTAAAGTACTAGGCTGAAGAGTTCATCTTTCATCTTATAGGTAATGGAAAAACTTTTTAAGGTTTTTGAAAAGATAAATGGAATTAAAGGAAATCCTCTTCCATGTCATTTGTTTTAAAGATAGGGAATAAATTGGTAAAACAACAACAAAACAACAAACTACTTAGAGGATCATAAACTTAGAGCTAGGAGAATCTTAGGGTTCACCAAGCCCAACTCTTTCATTTGAATTGTTCCCTTTTTGCAACATTTCATTTACCAATGATGCCAGATGAATGAAGTATTATTATTTTTTCTTTTTTTTTTGGCTTTTTGGTGAGGCAATTGGAGTTAAGTGACTTGCCCAGGGTCACACAGCTAGTAAGTGTCAAGTGTTCTGTCTGAGGTTAGGATTTGAACTCAGGTCCTCCTGACTCCAGGGCCAGAGCTCTATCCACTGTGCCAACTAGCTGCCCCTAAATGAAGTATCTTTGCAAATTTTTTTTAAAGGTTGTACATCATGGACAAGATTGTCCACAAAGACAAGGATAGAAGATTGGGAATATTCTGAGGGACCAGATATGCTCTTAAGAGAATAAGAATTTTCCAAGGAAAAGAGTCTTTTTGGAACCCTATAATTTTCTATGTAGTCAACCCTAGTTTCCCTAATTTAGTGTTTCTACTTATATAATAATAACCAAAGCTTGCATTTACATGGTGATTTCCTCCTCACAATATCCTTGTGAATTAGAGGCAGTGTGAGTACTATTATCTGCATTTTATCAGATGAAGAAACTGAGGCTCATAGAAATAAAGTGACTTGCCACGTAATCAAACAACTAAAGCAAAAAGCTGAGAACTAACTAAACTTTTAAGTGCTAAAGCTGAAAACTGAACCTGTGTCTTCTGGATTCTTCTTCAACCCAAATTCACCCTTTACAGAATTGGCTGCCCTCTGTCACACACCATAATAAATGAAGAGTTACCTCTCCATGCCTTCAGTTGGTGGGTGTTCAGGGAATAATAGCTAATTATAACATTAGTTTCAGCAAAAATAAAATTATGGAAATAAGTTTTCTGGGAGGAGGAGAGAGCGCTGGACATTCCAAAATAAAATAGCAAATATTTTTGGATCATCCATAGCACCTACCTTTATCAAAGATAGTGCAGAAGTGAGCCTGTGCATCTATAATGAAGTTGCATGTTACCACTAGTAATAATAACAATGCCTTGTGTTTGTATAGCACCTTTTTTTTTTTAATAGGTCAGAATATTTACAGAAAAATATTTTTGCTAATGCTAATTTTATGAAAATTGAGGCATAAAGAATTGGGGAATTTCAAAAGTCACAAAATGAACAGGTCTATTTAAAAAATGGAAGATGCTAATACTTTCATTTATACTTTTTGGACAAGCAGATTTGTTATGGCTTTTCATTCTCAATAATTTATTCTGGGTTGCTTCAGTTTAATTCTTGAATATCACAGGTTAATTAGGTAAATCTAATTCATTTCTTTAGAACCTTTCTTTACAACTGTGTTATCTACTATCAATGCTGGCAACAGTCATACTATATTGGAGCACTGAACTTCTTTTGTGGCCCATGTTAATCCTGATGCTCTCTGCCGCTGTAGACCTCTACCAGTCTGAAGCCCTGCTGTGTTTCTAGAATGAGTTTTTCTCATTTAGTCACATTTCTTAAATTTTCAAATTTACTTTGATCATGTATGATGGAGAGGAAGTCATTTCGACATCTAAGAAGATGAATTACACCTTTTGATTCTTAACTCAAGAAAAAAAATATTCTTACCACCATCCTGTCTCATTGGCTATGTGCCCCACTCTCTTCCTTCCTTCCTTCCCCTCCCCCCCAAAAAATCAAAAAGGCCTCAGAGTTAGTCGGGCCTCAAAAACTTATAAACTTAAAAAAATGAGTGATTACCATATCAGTCCTACCTCCTGTCCATCATCCCTTCTCAGTAAGTAAACAAAAATTTCTGCCTTTTGTCAAGCTCCCTTTTCTTCCCCTTAAAAAGTAAAAAAATTAAATGAAAAGAGAATGAAAAGAAAGAGATGGTATCTTCCACTTTGAATCTAATGACAATTTTATGTTTACATTGATTTTTATTGGACTTGCCATGACATTTTTTCAAGTCTGGACATGGGATTTAACCAGTTGTCATTATAAATAATTCCTTTCACTGGAACTTACTTTATTTTGTAATGATTGTTGTATAGAAATCTGTTGTTACTGTAATATTTCATTTAACTCATTTAAGTAATATAGCACTATCAAAATCATGTTTTGGTTAAGTAGATTGCAGTTGAGTAAAGTTCTTATCATATTTAAATAGTAAATTTAAATGCTCTGAAACAAATTTGTAATTATTCTGAAAGCCCCTAACAAAATGCACCTGTGATTTTTTTATATATTCCATGAACCACAAAGTACACAAAACAACTCTTAAGAGAAAAAGAAATAAATCTTCCCTCATTTCTTCATTACTATATATCATTTTCATCACTTTGTTAATTTTCAAGTATTTTAGAACCTCCACTATGTTAATTTGGGTTCCAGCCATTTCTCTGATATTCTTTTGTGATTTTAAACTTGTGATTTATCTAATTTTACTGAATCATTGTCTAATAACTTCTCTGCTTTAAAATATTGCATGGGAGTTATATATCTAATTGCAACCCCCCACTCCAACTTTCTGACATTGCAGTGAGATGCCATGCCTTTCTCTATGTTTTACATTGGCCCATGTTGGATTTTGTACTAACAATCATTTTGGGGACATACTTTTTTTTTTCATCCCAAAGTTCATGAGTCAGGGAGCTGTAATAACATTAAGCTTAATTTCATGAGAAGCAGCCATGATGTAGTGGATAGCCTTGCAATCAAGAAGCTGAGGGTTCAAGTCCCGTTACTAATACATCCTTGCAATGTCAGCTTGGGCAAGTCACTTATCCTCTCATTGCTCTAAGCAACTCTCTAAGTCTTTTAAGTTTCAGAGAAGATCCCAACCTGCTTAGGTAAAGGGCCCTGTTCTTTCAGTCCAGAGCTCCCTATATTTATGAAATCACTGACTAGACTCTATCCCTATTCCATCACGTCATAAATATTGCATGCATTTTCTACATGCACAATATGGAGCTTCTGCCCATTTGCTATAATATAGCCATATAATGATTTGTTTGGATTTTGTTGCAGATGATTGATAGGGCAGAATGTTGGCAGTGATGTGAATTGCTGTTGGGCTGTCTTGAACATTGCAGTACTAGTGGTGATTTCTTCTCTTTTTCTGTGTGCTTGTCTAGTCTCGACAGACACCTGAGGGTGAGTTCCTCCCCCTTGACCAACTTGAGCTGGATGTAGGTTTTAGTACAGGGGCAGATCAACTTTTTCTTGTTTCCCCCCTCACAATTTGCCACGTGATCGATGCCAAAAGCCCCTTCTATGACCTATCCCAACGAAGCATGCAAGCTGAACAGTTCGAGATTGTCGTCATCCTGGAGGGCATTGTGGAAACAACTGGTGAGTAAAAAAAATAGCTATATGATAAAATATACTGTATCCATGTCAATGTTTTATTTCTTCCAATTTTTTTTATATGCTTGACATCACTTGTCAAAAATTGGACCAAAAAACTCACTAGGTCTCAAATGGTTAGTATAAATGAAAGTAATGACTTATTGCTTGTTTCCATTTAAATGAAACTTGCCTTGAATACTGTTTGGAAAATTAGGATGTCTTAATGAAAATGGTGTGTGTGTATGTGTGTGTGTGTGTGTGCATTTAGAATATTCATATAAAATAGCTTGAAATTGATACAAATCCTTACAAAGTATTTCATTGTTCATTTTGAAACGCAAACCTGGAATATCCTGCAAATAAGTCTGCTCTCTATATTCCTTTGAGATAGAAAAATACAAATTAATGGGTACTTGAGCTCCATGTAAAAGTGCCTTTGTCCTTTATACTTGATTGTCCCTGAAAAGCTATTGAACACATTAATGTACATGACCTTAATGGAAAGTTGATTTTTTTTAAACAATAGTACACATTAACAGTATCATACAGATATTGCCCAAGTGTCCTCTAAAGCAATGTATTAATGTCTTGTTTAAGTTATTTTAGTGAAGGATGAGAGTAGGCAAAAGGGTGAGGTGTGTAAACTGAAAATATGTTTGCTGGGAACCCACACATTAAATGGCTGGGGTTGAAGTGCCAGGGGGGTAGAGATTGGCTTAATTTGGAGTTAGGTAGTTAAGTGAAAAAAGTTCTAGGCAATGATCCTCAATAGATTGGGTACCATCACATAAACGGAGATATATTAGCTGCAATCATTTGGTTCCTTTTCTTATGGATGGACTCCACCAAGGAGTACTGAATCTTTAAGGCATTAGAGATGTTCAGTTTTACTTCACACTGCTGTGTTTCTTTCTTTTCTTTTTTTTTTTTTTAGGCAATTGGGGTTAAGTGATTGGCCCAGGGTCACACAGTAAGTGTCAAGTGTTTGGTCTGAGGTCAGGATTTGAACTCAGGTCCTCCTGACTTCATGGCCAGTGCTCTATCCACTGCACCACCTAGCTGCCCCAACTGCTGTGTTTCTTAAAGGAAACTGCTTCTTCTACCTTTTCTTATTAGACATGGTAATCTCCAAGTTTATCTACTGAACCAAAATTGATCATTTCCTCATAACTCTAATCTGCTTAAATTGAAAGAAAGACATCATTTTCTGAAAGAATTGCTTCTCTTATTTACCTCTTACAAACACTAAATATTACTGATCATTTGGTGTGAGGAGTGCTATTCAGACCGCTCTAAATTCTGGCTGTCTGGATGACTTGTCACTTTCCCTTCGGCCAGTCACTTACCCTGTCCATTCCATGAAATATAAAGAGATGATGCTATTGACCCTTGAGGTAGCACTCTGTGGATTGTGTAAAAGTCTTAATGAGTGATTACTTGTGAGTTTAACAGTATTAAGGAAATATGAAGAGTTCTAGGAAACTAAACAAATGTTTATTTGTGTAAAGGTTTAAGATCTTTGATCACGTATTATTTCCCATTAGATTCAGGCTGTCAGTGCTTCAGGAAAGAAATAAAAACCAGGTTTAAAATAATTCATAAGTAAAGACATCTCTCTAGCATCTATAATTAGATTCTACTTTTTGGGCTATTTGAACTCTGTAAAATTTTTAATTAGGACTTCCTACTTGGATTTTCTTCCTTAAAATGATGCAGTTGAAAAATTAGATAATTTTATTTTTACTATAACTAGATTTTTTTGGGGGGAGCAGTAGGAATATGTCTGGATCCATGATTTTATTGGTTTAGGGAACTCTCAGTGTGTCAACTCCCTCCACACATGTAGATGAGTAATTTCTCTGTAACTTGTCCTCTTTGAGAGTTGCCTGGGGGGAACCAAGTGGTTAAATGATTTGTCTCTGGTTACACAGATGATAAGTGTCAGAGGTGTAACAATCTCTGGTTTTCCTGATTCCAAGGCCAGCCATTGATCTATTATCCCACTCTTGATCAAATACTTTTTACATGTGTTTTATTCATTAAAACTGTTTGAGATAGGTTTCAATTGCTTTTAGTTTATTTGTTCAACTGATATAGTATGTTATCACAGCTTAGAGAACAGATATCAGATAAATTTTTTATTGATCTTTTGTGGTTTATGGTTTCATATCTCCAAAGAATGACAATTGAGAGTTGAATTCAAGGTACTGAATGTCAACAGCACACCTGTTAATAGTTTATCACGTGTTTATTATTAATGAATGTACTGATTTGGAATGTGAATTAAATGTGGGATTTTTTTTTGACAGTCTAAAGAAACATTGATTAGTAATTCTGATCCTGAATGTATATGGGAATGATGCTTGAATGTATTAGGGAATGATACTCTACACAATATTTATATTCTGCCTACTTTTTTCATTAACTGATTAATTTTCATCTCCCACATTAGAATACCTAAGGTGAGTACTTTATTGTTTTGCATGAAGCCATCAGGGAGCTTGTGATAATGAGAATCTTTTAAAATGTCAGATTATCAATCTCTCTCCTTCTAAACTTAAATGACAAAAAAAGAATTTGAAAAGTCTGAATTTCTTATTTAGGGACCAACGTGTGTGTGTGTGTGTGTGTGTGTGTGTGTGTGTGTGTGTGTGTGTGGTGTTAGTGAGAGATTTAAGCTTAATTTCTTATAATCTTAATTGAAGATTGTTTCTAGATCTAATATAGCAAGAGAAACATTCAGGAATATTATTCATCATATATATCATTTATTGCAAGAAGTACATCTGACTTTGTGTTTGAGTACATACTCTAAAAATGAACACATATGTTATTCAAACTCTGTAAACTTGTGGATTATACCAGAGTTTAACTAGTCTAAAAAAAAAAGAGTACACAAAAATTTCTAGATTCTGTTTCAGTCACTCTGTTCAGCTGAAATTTCTTGAAAGAAACTCAATATTTTAAAAATAAATTTTAAGAACATATCTCCTTCATTCATGCCATTTTATAATAGTTTTAAAAACTACGCATTAATTAGAATGAGGAGAAATTTCATTCCTTTTTTTTTAAAGCTGTCAATGTACTGTATATTCTGAAATTATCCTTGAGTGTTGGTCCCTTCTATGTTGTTAGATACGAGGTTCTGCTTACTTAACTTTAGTTATATATTCTTCTAGACAGTTCAATATCTTTATATCCTTAATTCCTAAGATTGAGATAATATTTACATGTTACTTTACTAGATGAACTGGAAACTTTATAATTTGATTAAAAACCAGAGATGTTTTATTTTCCCCTTGCTACTGGACAACTCCCAATATATTCACCTGAAGTATTCACATAGCACTTGCACATTTGGGATGGTATTCCATTGGGTGACTATTGCCTTGGGTTCTAGGGTTCCCCAGCGTGTGGCTACTCCTATTACTGTAGTTCATAAGTCCCTACTAGTATGCTTCCCATTAACAGTCAGGCTATAGATATAATTATCAGATAGCAAAGATATTTACCCAAGATGGTATGGTTAGAAGAGTAGGTACAAAAACATTCATCCCTTAAAGCATATTTTGACATAAATATACACATTTCTATGGGAAAAGGGGGTTGAAACTTTGATTATAGTGGTAGTGAGGCAAACTTTTAGAATACATATTTGGCAGAGTCGGTTTATAACTCCTGGTACATCAGGGCCAGAATTTCTTTTCTCTTTTTGTAACATCCTCATGCAGCTCCCTTGGGTACAACATCCCAATTAGGCTCCCCAGATCTTACTCTTATGCATAGTACTACTGTCCTTTCTCCTTAGAGCAATCATGCCCCTTGAAGATGTTTCGTAGTTTGGGTTTCTGTATGCATGGTCTGTCTCTGCCCCTGGCTAGATACACTCTTTCCCATAGGTCCAGGAGCTGTGATGACATGGTGATGGGGTAGAGGGTAGAGCAATCCCCATCTTTGATGTCTTTTTGTAATAGGCACATAGGTGCTTCAAACTTTGTTCAACTCCTGGTAGTCCCAGGCTCCTTATGGTTTAGCTATTTTAAAACCCTCAAAGATAGAGCAAATTTGATGACTCACTCAATTGTGTTGCTTCCTCTAATTCCGTAATAAAAAGGTATTCACAGATCATACTAGGGTCAAGACATAAACTTATCTTTTATAGTTATTTAATACTTCATTAGTATTTTATGATTACAGTGTAGGTCTTCTATATCTAACTGAAGTGTATATGGGGGGGGTCATCTCTATATTTCATAATGAGTGAGTCTAATGATCTGAGAATTAGCAATGCTCAAGACGGAGTAATGAAATTACCCTGTTCAGGAAGAACTGGAATGTTTTTTGTTTTTTTTTTTTTTTGCTTCTGTGCAATTAAAAAAAAAATTAAACCCTGCCAATATAAAGTAAACCTAGATTGAGCTAAGATTTCTCAAATAATTTCCATTTGTACTGCCAGACTATAGACTATTTATGTGTAGGTATCCAAGAAACTGACAAATGTGATTATGATTAGCAATTGAAAGGAAATAAGCACTATTCATGTACTCTTGCCTACTTTACTAGTGAAAGAAAATTAGCAAGAAATGAACTGCAAGCTAGTTTGGTTACTTGAGAGCTGCATGTCATTTTGATCTTATAATACTCTTATCTGTCTTGATAATTTATTTTTTCCGCAATGGTCATCATTATCTAGAGTTAATTTAACACCTTATATGCTTTCTTACAATCTTGTAATTTTATAATTCGATTATGCTTACTGTAGCTCAACTCAGGTTTGAGCAAGTTATAGTATCAAATGAGACCTCAGATCTTTATATCTGCTCAGCCAATGTCCTTAGGTAAGCCACCGGCTTGACTCTACATGGGCATGTCTGTCATCTATAATTTTACTTCCTCAAGTTGCTGTGACCTTTCAGAATAATGATATTTGGAAGGGTTGTTATCATTTTAACACCTTTGCTGCAAAGTCCAGTGGATGGAGTAATTTGTTTATATATTGAAAA